AAAAAAAAAAAAAAAAATCAATAAAAATATGCTCTTGTCAGGATTAAAAAAAATTTATGAAAAAAAAAAATGATCAAAGGTCTGTAATATTTCTAAACTGCTCCTGGTTAGGAAAACAGTTAATCACATGTATCAGTCAGGGTCATATCAGGTAAATGGTCCACTTAGATTTAACAATGGGACTATTCACAGGGGTGTGGACAGGAATAAAGGAACCAATTAGGGGGTGGTGGACACTAAGAGATGAGTATAGTCAGGAGCCATTCCCACTCCTAAGCCTCTAGGTAGCTGATGAAAGACCAACTGTTCCAGAGCCTGGAGAGAGCAGGAACCATGAAAGCTATTTAGGGAACAGTTAAAGGGAACTGCAGTTGTGGAGGTGAGAAGCTACCTTTCCACCAGAGCCTTGGTGAGGCAGGGAGTGAAGGGAAAGAAATGCTCTGACCTTTCTCTTTTCACCCTGCCTTCTGTCAGTGCCTCACAACCAAAAGGCACATGACAAGGAAGTCTGGTTTTGATGCAGTTTCCAAGGGGTTAGCCTCCAAGGCATGGAACAGGAGAAGTGTAGAGAATTGGATCCAGGCCTGGTGGTTGGGCAAATGGAGAATAACCAGACCAAACTTATCAGAACTTCAAATTGACTAAACTTTTTGTGCTTGAACTCTGTTCCATCTGAGCACCAACTCCCTCTACTTTTTTTCTCCTTACTTCTTGGTTCTTAGCTATTTGGATAGTCTCTATTGGCAGATATCTGATTTGTAATTGATCTGATGTATAGTTTTGAAGTCATATAATCACATTTGGATTGACATTGGGAAATGACAAGGATCTACTTTATGTAGCAATAAAGATGACAATGTGAATTCTAGTAGCTTTAACTAATTCTGACCACACTAAAACAAAAGTTTCTTTCTAAGTATGGAACAGAGAAAAATTGAAGGATTAATCCCTCTAATCAATATTATACACAATTATTAGCTTGGCAGTACATGCATTGCAAACCACCCAGCATCTCCAGGAAAATATGATTATGATGGCTAGGTCCATCCTGCACATATATAGAGTGTCCCAAAAAATGTATACTTAAACAGCTGATAGCTCAATTTTGAAAATTAAATGTATTTTAATAAACATTGCCTTTATAATTATTTAAAGTGTGTGTATACATTTTTTGGGACACCCTGTATATTTTGAAAATTCCACAAAGTCAAGTTTGTATTTGAGCTTAGGGCTGCTCAATTTTATTTGAAAATAGAAGATAGGTTATTCTCTCTCTGCTTCCAGAATTTCCCTAGTGGGATTAACCTCCAACTGCCCACAGTGGCTTAAGCACTCTTTATGGATTGCCTTCTTCCCTCTCTCATTTCCTCACTCCCATCACCTCCCAAATAAACTTCTTGCACTTGAATCCTTCCTTCCCTCAAGGTCAGCTTCTAGAGGAAACCAAATTAAGAAAGAGGTATCTTTTCACCTCCTACCTGTACAAATCTGTAAAGGTCTATTTTCCACTACTTTATAACAAATTATTTTTTTTACTGAGTTGAAAAAACTCCACAAAACTTCTTTTATTATTTACTGACCACCTACCAAATGCAGTTTTGGGCTAGCTGATTTTCTCTCATTTATTCCTCCCACGCACCACGATATACCAATCATGGACTTAAGTAATGTGATTTGTTTGGATGTTTTATCTACTGTACTAAATTACATAAATTTACTATAGTTTTATCTACAAGTTTACTTATTGCTGGATACCTGCTAGAACCGCCAGTACAATGTTGACTAGAAGTGGTGAAAGCAGATAACCTTGCCTTATTCCTAAAGTTAGGAAAGTACTTTTAAATCAAGAAATATTATTTCTATCTTACCTGTGTTTCACATGGAAACTTTGCACTACTGCCTAGTTGTTATAAATACTAAAGGTTTTTCATGCAGTATAAATTGGCTAGTGAATTATTATTTTTATTAATTTTAGGGTCATTTCTTTAGTGCCTATAAGTCTGAATTATATATAAAACTGAAGTGAATAAATATATAATTCAAAGGATATAAGCAGAACAAATTATCAATTAAAATATATGATTTATTTATTGGCTAATTATATAGTTTAAATTTTAAGGCCAATTACTGACTTTCTTGTGTTAGGTAGCCCTGGCTATATCATTTTGGAAAAAAGCTCCAGGTGGCAATTTTTCCTTTAGTCCTAATTATTTATGCTTGCACTTATCTTTAATAACTGTAAAAAAAAATTGACCATGTAAATTTATGTAACAAAAATGTGAGATTTCACAAGAAAACATGAATAAAGCTCTTAAAATATTTAAAGAGATGGTGTTATGTAAATTTGAATGTGACTGTAGTCTATAATTCCCTTTGAGGTTTCTGTAAATTAAGTCCACAAATAAATATAATCAAATACTGAAACATATTAGGAGAAATAACTTCCAGGGCACCTGTGCAACCCATGGAAATGGGAGGCAGTTGACATTGCAAAGTAGGTGAGTGAACAGATACTCACAGAAACACATGACTTCAGTGTTTTTTTCCCCAAACATGTTTTCTTGGCCTTATTAGGAGATGAACAAATGGTCCATGAAATTCTGATTTTATTATTTAAAACAGAGGATCCAAGTTGTTAAAACTTGTTCAAGTAAGGCTCTACTTCAAGAAAAATAAAGTACTTTTGAACATTTACATACATATGATACAATTTATACTAAGCCTCTCAAATCTAGTTCCTGGACCCAAATTATTACAGTAAGGAATAGATATTGTTGAATTGGAACTTAATGAAAATAACTGAATTTTTAAAAAGTTTACCTGATGTATATACTGGCTGACCTGATACTCTTATTCTAATGAGGCAAATTAGTTGATAAAATAGGTGAAGCCTCAACATTTCAATAACAAAGTAAAGATATCAGAAAAATTTTAAACTTAACTTTATAAAAAAACTTTTGGAAGAGGTAAATCATTATCATGGTTTGACTATCAAAAGTTTAAATATGAAAACAGTGAAAAGTCTTTCCTATTTCTTCCATCCTCCGATTTCTCATACCTCAACAGTTAGTTTGTATTAATTTAATGCATATACAAGCCAATACATTATTCTGCACCATTTTCCTGCCTTTTTTCCATTTAACAAAAAAATCTTGGAGATTTTAATATTAAAACAGAAGGAACTTTGTCTTTTTCATTAACAGCTACATAGCACATATTCAAATGTATGGTTATATCATAATTTAGTATCCTGTTGATGGATATTTAGTTTGTTCCCAATAATTTGCTATTTTCAGCAGTATAAGAAATACCTTATTGTTTCTCATGTATGAAAATGTATCTGTGGGATAAATCCCTAGAAGTAAAATTGAAGGTTCAGAGTACATATGCATTTGAAATTTTGATAGATACAAATTCCTGTTTCTCTGTAGCCTAGTTGAAGCAGTGATGCCAGATACAATTTTATGTTTTTATTTAGAAATGCAGAAAGAAAAATGGCTTACCAATTAAAGAATTAGAAAGAAAGCAGGACAAGTTTATTCAGCAATTTATAAACTACATTTCATTCAAAAATACACTCAACAGAAATTTATTGTACACCTACTGCATGCCAAGTGCTTTTAGGTACTTGGGAGATATATAATCAAATACACACACATCAAACTTAAAATCTCTGCCTTTGTGGAAGTTGCATTTGAATTCTACATTTTGGAACTCTATGCTACTTCATGAGAAGCCAGATAATGTCAGTCCTGAAAATGAACTGTTGAGATCCTGAGCACAGGGGCCAGACATATGGTACCATTGTTATTTAAAAACTAACTGGAGCTAATGTTGCACATAATTGCATAGCTCCCCATCAGGTCCTTTTAAAACAGCACACTTGGGTGAGAGCTCTTTTTATCTGACTCCATCTGCTGTTTGTAGTGATCAGCATACCACGGGCATTGTGGTATCATCTGAGATTAGATTGTGAAATAGGAAGTGGAGTTACAAGCAGATCAGCAAGTATATACAAACTGTTGCTGAAACCAAGAGTGTCCAATTCAGGTTAGCAGAGCAGGGAAGATAAGGTTATCAGCACATTCCCATCAGGGCACAGTTTCCTTTTTGCAGTCTGTCCTTGTTTTAGTTCTAGAAAAAGATCACAAGAGATTCTATAAAAAATAGTTTTAGAAGCATACAGCAGTATTACTCAGTATGCTGAACAAGGGAATGGAAAAGGCAACAGGTTAGAAACAGGGAGACAGAAAAGACCATCGATGCCAAGGAACGAGTGGTAGCAAGTATAATAGTATAGTATAGTCTCACGCTTATTTTAAGTATTTTTCCTTTCTGACAGGAGAATATCTTAGAACTTTAGCCCTCCATTATATTTAATTTTATAAGAAGGTGGTAAACTACAGCTCTTAAAGTTTTGCCAATATCCTAGTGGGTTCTTTGCAGTTTTAAAGAACAATTGGGAATTCAGCTTGTCATAAGAAAGCCAGACACATTAGCATCTTTAAGTATGAGGGGAAGAACAGAAAAAAGCTAATGCCAGAGAGTGGCTCTTGAATCATATCTTGGCTGTTTCCCCGACACCCCATTACTAAAATTTAAAATTTCATCCTGGCACTGTAATAGCCACAATTAACAACTGGTTACCGAATGAGTGGTTTCTCAAGTCCTAATACTTATCTGTTATGTTTTTCGGTCATTGAATTTTATAACTAGAAGGAGCCCTTGAGGTCAGTCAACAAGCCCCTTTGATAGCTGAGGTAGAAAAGACTGAAGTGACAATGGCAGAAGGCAGGTCTCTTTCCAGATTCCCAGTCCAGCAGAACTCTGCCACAGGATCACCATGAAAAACCTTTAACGCTTCTGATTTCTGGATTCTGGGCTGCCGCACTTGCAAACGCTGCAAAATGGAATGACTTTGGGCAATGACACTGTAGCCCCTATGGGGCCTGAACACAGCAGGCCCGGTGAACGGCTGAATCGTGAATGAGCAGGCATGCTGCTCTCAAGTCCCCAGCGCTGGACTGCCAGGCCGCTCCTGCGTCCCCAGGGGCCTCCTCAGCCCAGCGCGTACACAGCAGGCCAAGCACTCTGCTCCGGCAAAGGACAGCTCCGCATGGGCCGGGCAGTGGACTTAATGTCTCCGGAATTCCATTTCGTCTCACTGAGGTAGCGCGTTACTTTTTCTGAGTCCCCGGGGATTTCGGGGCCCGTGAACTGACCTAGCTCAGCAGCAGCTCCTAGCAGGCCAGTGGATCGAGCACAGGAGCGCGCAGGGTCCACTGCCCCACTGTCTTTCCCTGAGCTTCATTCCTGCCACCCTAGCGCTCGGTCCGTTTCCCGTTCGCCCTTCCCTCCTTTTCCCACGAGTTTTCTCAGCGTTTCCCACTCCGTTTACCAAGGGCTTATGCCCACTTAGGCCGCAGCTCCCTCTCACGTCGCTCTGCCCCTCCCTCGGCTTCCCCTTCCCCCTCCTGGATCAGCCCGGGCCGATTCCCTTGGCGCCTCCCGGGTCATCACGTGGGCTGAGCCCCGCCCCTACCGTCACGTGAGCCGCCCCCGGGCCGCGCCCCGCCCCCGCGCCGGCGCTCTCCGACCTGCCCTGGAACTTACCCTCCCGCGGAGACTAACCTGCGGGAACCGGCCGGACGCGGCTGGCGCGCTGCGAGAGCCCTTGGGGCTCGCCCCGGCGTCCAGCAACCCCAGTGCTGGGTGAAGAGGGCGTTGCCTCCACGAGGCCGCCGGGCCTTCGGTAAGGCGGTGGGCGCGGATCCCCGCGGACTGGGGAGATTAGTGGGGCGCTGCACAAAGGCGCTCCTGGACCGGAGTTGTGTCCGTTGGAGTTGGGGGGAGGCGTGTGCGGGAGGCGCGAAGGTGGCGAGGTGCGCGCGGGGTGAGGACGTGAGCGCCGCTTGAGGGGTTGGGACGCGGGAGTGGGCGCGAGGGTACAGAGGCTGTTGCCAGCCCAGGGGCTGACGTGGGCGAGAGGGTTTAAATGGCTTGAAGTTGTGGTTCCTCTGACCCCCAGGTTTCCTGACTTCCTGTGTGAGGGCAGCGCCCGCCCCGCCCCCAGGAAGGAGGGTGTCGGGGTGTGTGCGTCTGGGGTGTGTGTGTGAGTGAGTGAGAGAGAGAGAGAGAGAGAGAGAGAGAAAGAAAGAAAGAAAGAAAGAAAGGGAGAGAAAGAGTGGCTAGTTCCGCCCTCTTTCCCGGCCTCCTGCCCCGGCCTGTGCCCCTCCCTAACTGCTGTAGGGTGTTTAAACCTCCGCCCACCCATGGAGCCTACCTGGGGCCTCCACTCTAGGACTCAGCCCTTGATTTTAAAACATTCTTTTTACAAGCGTGCTGACCTCCTCCCATCTTAGGGTACTTGATTGCTTTCCAAGACAGCCAACTCCTCTGTATGTGTTGTATTTTAAGTTCTTGCAGACCCCTTGAGAAGAAATGCCCACGCCGTTATCGTCAGAGGAATAGGCTTGGCCTTCAGTTTTAGAGGCCTGTGATGTTTTCCTTCTCGTTGCAGCAGAGGTTTTAAATGCATTTGTAAAGGCTAAAAAAGCAAAATGTTTAAAGCATGTCATTAAGGAAGTTCTAATGTCATTCCAAGTGAAGTGTTTGTTGTGGGTAAAGACTGTTAACACTCGTATTGCTTTATGGGTAATAATGACATATGGAAGTAGTTTTATTGACCATTTATGCACATAGTGCTAAGGGGAGATAATGTGGAGAAAGGAGCATTGAGTGAGTAGTTACTTGGGTTCTGGTTCGGATTCTCCCACCCATTTCTAAAGGTGAGAGCTTGGAAGACAATGTTTCAGTAAAAGGTTGTTAAAAAGCATCTAGGCCCTAGCCACGTCTCTTTCCTACTTAAAGGTTCGGAAATGGTGGCCTGGAGATATATTTGTCCATATTCAGTGCTCTTTACATGATCTACAGGAGGGTGTATTAAAGAATGGGTCATCTTTCTGTGTCTTTTCTGGTCTGGCTATTGTTAGTATTTTTCTTTCTCTTTGTTTTAAANGAAAGAGTGGCTAGTTCCGTCCTCTTTCCCGGCCTCCTGCCCCGGCCTGTGCCCCTCCCTAACTGCTGTANGAGAGAAAGAGTGGCTAGTTCCGCCCTCTTTCCCGGCCTCCTGCCCCGGCCTGTGCCCCTCCCTAACTGCTGTAGGGTGTTTAAACCTCCGCCCACCCATGGAGCCTACCTGGGGCCTCCACTCTAGGACTCAGCCCTTGATTTTAAAACATTCTTTTTACAAGCGTGCTGACCTCCTCCCATCTTAGGGTACTTGATTGCTTTCCAAGACAGCCAACTCCTCTGTATGTGTTGTATTTTAAGTTCTTGCAGACCCCTTGAGAAGAAATGCCCACGCCGTTATCGTCAGAGGAATAGGCTTGGCCTTCAGTTTTAGAGGCCTGTGATGTTTTCCTTCTCGTTGCAGCAGAGGTTTTAAATGCATTTGTAAAGGCTAAAAAAGCAAAATGTTTAAAGCATGTCATTAAGGAAGTTCTAATGTCATTCCAAGTGAAGTGTTTGTTGTGGGTAAAGACTGTTAACACTCGTATTGCTTTATGGGTAATAATGACATATGGAAGTAGTTTTATTGACCATTTATGCACATAGTGCTAAGGGGAGATAATGTGGAGAAAGGAGCATTGAGTGAGTAGTTACTTGGGTTCTGGTTCGGATTCTCCCACCCATTTCTAAAGGTGAGAGCTTGGAAGACAATGTTTCAGTAAAAGGTTGTTAAAAAGCATCTAGGCCCTAGCCACGTCTCTTTCCTACTTAAAGGTTCGGAAATGGTGGCCTGGAGATATATTTGTCCATATTCAGTGCTCTTTACATGATCTACAGGAGGGTGTATTAAAGAATGGGTCATCTTTCTGTGTCTTTTCTGGTCTGGCTATTGTTAGTATTTTTCTTTCTCTTTGTTTTAAAAATGCTCCTGGAAACGTTTCAGAGCTTGAATTAGGGAGCCCAGAGCAGTACCTAAGAGCAGGCTGTGATGACTTGACTCTGCCATGGTAGCCTCGAGAGCCAGAGAGGCTGGACACATATATGTGTGACCTATGGTTGCATGTAGCTCTATGGCTCTGGAGGCGTTTCTCTGTGGGGAAAATAATGTAACAGATTGTGCGTGTGTATGTATGTATGTGCCCTAGTCTTTGTGAATAGATTTCTGTTTGTACTTTATAAATCATAAGAGTGGGAGAAGATTGCTACCTCACTGATTCTCAATGCCATCTGTATACATTAGTTGTCCATAAATAGTTAATATTTTACATAACTTTATATATTTTTTACATACTACACCACTTGTGAGGTTCAAATGAACATGTGCAGATGCTGTAGAAAAACAACATATTATTTGTCGTTAATTACTTGGCTTTTCTTCCATTAATTAGAAAGTATCTGTGGAGTGCTTTCTGTAAAAAGTGGATGGAAAGTGGGTTTTACAAATTTAAGTACTTAAAGTTATGCAGCTGACATTTCTGAGAATAAAAGGCTAATAATAATAAAATTTTTAAGTTGACTAAAACAGCGACTATGGCTATGTGTAAAATTATTAAATGATAGTACTAATCTTTTGCTTATTTGAGAAAATTGGTACTAGGAAAAAGCAGCTTGAGGTGTATCTGCCTAAAACAGGCATTATAATTTTATAACAAATAGTGGGAAAGAAAAGTGAAGTTAAACTTTTATCTTATAACAATCTTAGTTATATGTTGCAAAAATTGCAAATGTGAACTATTTTGTGGAATGAATCAGATGTAAAAAGGTATGATGGTACCACATAGCATCATTGTACTTCAAATCCTGCTTTTTTTTTTTTTTTTTTTTAATTTTTTTTAA